TGTCATATCCACCTCCAACGTATTTTATTGATCTTCTCTTCATTTGAAAGCTGGTTTGTTCTCTCTCACAGAAGGCTGTTACTGATGGTATCCGGTCAACGAACATTTAGTATCTTGTGCAGACAATTGTTTACAAATACTTGTACTTTCTTGATGATGGTTGTAGTAGTTCTCAAAGCTTCAGCTCCTTAGAGTAGAACTGTCTTGACGTTCGTATTGAAGACTCCGAGTTTGATGTTCACTTGCAAACAGTTGTTTTGAGTTTCATATGTTCTTCAACTGTAGGAATGCTGTCCTTGCTTTGCCAATCCTCGCCTTTACGTCTGCATCCGATCTTCCTTGTTCATCGATCATGCTGCTGACCAGGTAGGTAAAACTTTTCACCTCTTCCACAGTTTCTCCATCAAGTGTGATTAGGTTGGTGTTCCCCCTGTTGTATTTGAGGATCTTGCTTTTTCTCTTGTGGATGTTGAAGCTTACTGCTGCAGAAACTGATGCTACACTGACTGACATCTAACAAAAAGGATCTTAAATAAAAATTTTCATTCTATTTAACATTCGTTGGTTAATGCTGATGGTGTCCTCCGTGTCGACGGAGATTTAATGATAACTGTTAAAAACAGGTTGATAATCTACGTTCTTGAAATATTACGCAAAATATTGCGAATCTAAGTGATCTACTTATGTAGAGTACGGGAAAGTAACATTTTTAACTATGTAAGAGGACTTATCTGTAACAGACAAAGTGATAGACTTATTCACAGATCGTATTATGTTACAATGAAAGAATTACACAATAACTGTGTATTAGGTCAGCAATCACTTGTAATGATTCACACTTGGAAACTAAACCTCGAAATATTAGCATAAGAGAATTTAAAAATGTTTTAATAAGATTTAATGCCAGATATTATATGTGTAAGTGTGATTAAATATCAACAGATTCTTACAAACAGAGAAAAGTGATATATTTAGAATTTGAAATTCAATTGGTGACCATATATAAACTTAGAGAAATCAGTCGATTAGCATGTTTCTTGAAAGTATTGAACTAGCGATATCACATCAAATCAAGAACGAAATATACCAACTATTGAATTTGACTTAGTAACTAATCGATTGTCGCTACTTCTTCTAGAAATGAAGACCACTAAAAGTATTAAATACTAGGATGGATATAGTCATTTGGTAGCCAAACTGATACAATTGTATAACGAAAACATTTCGACCAAACTGGAAAATTTCACAAAAACCATTCTACTGAAAAACATCTTGATATTATGGAGTGATAATCAGGACATAAAGCTGATAGAACAAAAAGCTAACATTCAAACCAAAATAATGATCCGTAAATTAGACGTTTTGTTTCGAAGATAAGTTTTCGTCACGAAGTGATAGTAAAAGAAACTCTGTCAAAAACCAAGTTCCAATGAACACCTAGTTCGGAAATATACAAACAGCATCAAACTCAGAATATTCAATTCGGCGAAGAGTAAGGTACCTGGAGCCCAGCAAATTGTGATTAAATGACTAACATTTATGAATTTCTCTAACTTCTTGTTACATCAAGATCAGAAATTAATTAGAAATACAATACCAAAATTGAATATCTTCAATCTTTTACAAGCAAACATCAAACCACGAGAGAAAGACAGTTTCTAACTAAAATTACCGATGAAAAGACAAGTTGAAGTTTTTAAAAAACGAGATTGAAAATGTGAAATTAGAGATCAAAATCAAACGTAGTTTATCACAATGAAATGCTCAATATTCAGAATAAGACTGCAAGTCACTTTCAGCAAGACAATTTCCAAGGCATGGACTTTTTATTAAATCATCATGTGATGTCTCTAAATAAACGATAACAGTAAAGAAAAGAGTAAGCATTTTAAATATATCAGAGGAATAAACAGTGATTTTAAAAATTCGTCCCATGGGTTTTTATGACCACCCTGAAAGATATTGTAAATCGAACGTAAATAATAATTATTTTGGTAAAATATTCGACGTGACACTTTCTCATTTTATTTGTTCATTTTATAGAGATATAAATTCAGTCACATAAACGACGTAATTTCATGGGAAAAATACACCTGTGGTGAAAACAAAATCGGTATTCAGACAAAAAAATAACTTTGCTGATGGATATGTTTCCTACATCTATCAATGTTTTTCGCCTTATCAAGTCAATATCAAGATTTAAATACAGGATAGCACAGTGTACAGTATTTGATTATATATTCAAGATGAGATGCAAGGGAAGTTGTGTTTCTGAACTAAATATATAGGTATAAATGAAACAACCGACGAATCTTTAAATAATTCACATCAAATGTTTTAGACATATAATTACGCAAATTATGTTTGAGAACTGAGACAGTTAGTAAATGGTTTCATATGAGGCTATTGGAAAAGCTTGACATCAGTATTTGGTCAAGATCCTATCAACGGGTCAGTCAAAAATATATTCATTGAAACTGAAAAAAATTCAAACCTCATTAGCGTATTGATAAGAATCAGATTAAGTTGACGATAAACGGTGAAAATTAGCCGATCTCAAAATTACTAACCAACACACGAAATTAAACAGTTTTGGAATGAATAGCTCCAGGTTTTTAAAACAGTAACTTTCTAGATGATATTGATTTAGACAAATGAATTATATTCTTTAGTATATGAAAAATGAAATAAATTTCTATAAAGTAGATTACTAAGAAGAATCTCATATTAAGTAACATTTCTAACAATCCGAATAAATCTAATATGAATTATATCTAAAATCAGTTGAAGAATGTTTAATTCATTGGAAAGATTGCGATAACGAAGATTTACAGATTGATGTTTGAGAATCAAGTGATAAACAATCAAGACTGTATAAAATGTATTTCGATGAATGATGTGTAGGTGACATATTTTGATGTGTTCGAATCTATCATTATGAAGCTGTTTTTAAAAAAATATAAATGAATAATAAACTAAATTAAATTAAAAAAACATAAAACTTCATTTTTGTTCTAACACTATTTAGTTTCCAAGATCATTTTATTTATTAACACAAACTAATTAAGGGACCATAAAAAACAGGTAACACCAAATAGCTACTTTGCTTTAATTCAAAACGACTGCACTATGTACGTCGGTGAATTCAAAGAGAATAAAATACATGAATTGGAAATCTCATGGAGAGCACAAAACAGTTTAACCAGAGTTAACATTTAACAGTTTACAGTTTATAGATTAAAGTAATTCATATCCATCATCTAATGTCACCTGATAACATTTACTTCACTTTTGACTCCTACTACTGACATTAAACGTGATAGTTGATTGATTTCTATTCAAGCATATATTTTTTTGGTAATTAAATGAGACAGTATAGTTTAGGTCTTGTTAATTGCTATTATTATTATTATTATTATTATTATTAGCTTTTCCTACTCTGTTAATGCTAATCATATTTATGTAACTATGATTACCAGATTTCGTTAACAACCTAAATTAACTTTTTAAATCATGAATGTATGAATGCCGCATGTGCTCGTGTGTGCGTGTGAGTTTATCTTAGACTATTTATATATAATTGAGTAACAATAGAAAGAACATGACAATGGGACAATGTGAATGCATGATAAATTACTTAATTAATATGACATTAACTAAATAAACTGATCAAAGTTCTTCCTCCAGTGAGTTAAATTAATGTTAAAAATTATAGAAATATACCACTTCATTATTTCTATGGTATTTGACTAACAAACAGACTGATAAAAATAATGCCTAAGTTTGAAAAATACCGTTTTCTTACTTAATTAATTTTATCCAATCTAGCTAGGTAACCAAATATAAGTCTGTATTTGACATTAGGCAACATGCTGAATTTGTGATAGTATATGAAAGAAAAATTGAACTTGTGACATAGTAATTGAGAACATATGTTTGGTACTGGGTAATCACAAGAAGGAATCAATGAATAGGAGGATATTGAAGGCAGATGGAGGTAAGTTCTGGAGATGTATGCTATACTTTTTAGTTGTCAATCATTATGATAATCAATGTTCAATCTGAAAAGAGATCAGCGCTACAATCCAAAGATACATTGTCACCAAAGCAAAAAGTTTGATCTGTAACAGATCAATTACTTATATTCTTTAGTTTTTCTTTAATCATCAGTTTTAAAGTTATTTAAAACGTATCGTTTCCGAATTTTCCATTTTCTAACTGTGCATTTTGTATTTTATTCACCATCATTATTATTTAAAACTAGAGGTTTTTAGCTTTAAATATTGTAAATTTCTTTGTGCTTATACGGAGTATTACAAGATGTGTGAACGCATATTTGTACAAAGTCTTACCTTGACTATAACTAGCTGAATTAACTTTCTGAAAGTAATCGAAAGTAAAAACTCAGATACAACATATTTCAACCGTACGGTGAAATTTGAATGATATACGATCTAAATATAAATAATGAGAAGTGTAGATTAATGATGTTAAGATGAAAATTTGAATCCCTACTCTTATAGATTAATCTTTATAGGCCGAAAAACTTAACTGATAAATATTAACAGTAATTCATAAAGATATAGAAATGTTTGTTATTTCATTGTCTTCTTATGACCATTTTTATGTAATAGTATATTGTATGCTGAAAACACCTACTTTTATTATGTAAATAATTATAAATACGAAAATTACGAAATTTATTTCAGGACATTAAATTTGATCCATCATGTCAAAAGTTGGGTAAACAAACTTGACAATGTCAGTGATTATCTATCAAAATGGTTATGATAGACTTTTTCATATATCATACAGATTATAAGTGGATATAAAAAGCATTAAAAAACAAGTATCTTCAACAGATCGCCTGGTTAGAATGATTAAAAACATTGATTTGACAGTTCAACAAATAAAGCCACTCAAAAAATCCATAGTCTATGTCAAAACAAGAGGATATTTTTTATTTCTAGTGTTATTAAATATCACAAAGTTCGACTTACATTTATAAAATATGATTGCCTACGGTTGTGCGACACAGATCTTTGGATAGTAATCAATGTTGAATTTTATTCAATTTCTAGTGATAATTGGAGTCTATTGACCATTAGGTAATTTGGATATGAATCTATGAAAAAGTAGCAATTTTTTCCAGAGTTGTAAGTTCGCTTTTCATGATCAGTGCCAACAGGACACAAAAGCTGAATCCAAACATATCTATGGGTTACTTTTAGTCGTTTAATACCATACATATACAGTTATACATAACAAATATAAAACATAATTTTGTGAGAAAATATCTTATTTCAAAATAGTTTTATACTGGATCGTACTTGTTATCGTTTATTTTGAAAGGAATTTCCCTTTGTCAACTATGTGGTTAATATTATAGATTAGGTATAAATGTAAACTCAATAGTGTTCTTTCAGCTGTATATTACTGTAACCAGTGTTATATGACGACTGTGGTTTTGTTCATACTATGTAATTTAGATATGAAAAATCGCTGTGAAGTTTTATTTATTTCGTATTAGATATGAGACAAATTATGGTGTAAATTCTTACTAGGTTTTGCCTATGGGAATAAAGATGATAAGCAAGAAAGGTTTGTGTAAATTTGTTTAAACCTTAAGTAAGATTATCAATCTGCACTGATTTATATGAATAGACCAAAGTTAAGATACACCTTTATTTTTTCTACAATTGTCTAAAACAATATACACTTATTAGCTGAGATTTATGAATCGGAAAGTTAAACGATATGAATAAAATATAACTGGTAATACTAGTTATTGAATGACACTTTACGTCCATTAAAATCTGTGGGAATCTAAAAATAATCCCTTGCAGTTAAGCTGTGTTAATCTATCCTAGTATCAGCATGTACTATTTTAAAATTCTGACTTGCCATAGCAGTACATTATGTTCAAGGATGATAGTGTTATAATTATGAGCTATTAATATCAGTATGGGGATCTGCTGAAACGTTTGTTTCATCTATATTCCATTAGGTATTTTATCAATAAAATATTACAAATTTAATAATAAATGATTGTATTAATTAAAATTTACACCAACTAATATTGAAGGATTCTGTTTGTAGTCAATAATTGTTTTGAAAAAGTGCATAAAAATGTATAAATAATGCCACTCTGAATACTACACATACATAGTAGGAAATTAAATTTACATATGGACTAAATATGTGAATATTAACAATGAAAAAGCCTTCGATTAAGTTTTCTTTTCTTTCGTTCTTTATATTTATATACATACTTGATTACATCACATTCATGTAATCATTCCGCATTGTAAAAACAATTAGGAGTTTCTCAATATAAACTTAAATAGTTCTAGATTAAGATTAACAAACTAAGTAATAAAGGATAAATTAACTGTACATAGAAAAAAATAATTGGGCACAAGAGTGAATGATTTTGTGATGAAAATGAAATTAATAAGTTTTACGTAACCGAAGGGTATGATATAATTGTGTTTTTCTCTCTTTCTAACATACCCGAATAATACATTTTGTAGAAATAATAAAATTCAGCAAGAGATTTATTGGTTTGGTTATGATTAACGTTCATAATGAGAATCAGTGAAGAATTATGTAATACACACCTGTTAATAGTGATATATATATAAACGGCGGTATAACTATTTGGTAATATTTTTATAAATGAACAGTTTAGGCATTGCATAAAACATCCCTCATGACTAAATACAAGATTTAGCAGAATGTTTAATTATTATCTTCCTTATTTTAAATCTCATTGTTTTAACACCACAAAAATTGATTTAAGTTTTTCCCAAAGTAATAACAACGTTTTTCATAACGAAATGAAGCAGGTTGGAAGTCAATTAAAACAGAAAAACATGAGCGGCTGTTTTATTCTAGTAAGAAACTCATTAGCAGTGGATGCGCAAGGGACCATTTATGAATTAAATGAGGACCTTCAGATTTGTTATAGAGCGTAATATTTACAAGTTATTATGTCAGAGTACAAATGGTTTAGGTCTTTAAACTCACGATGCTAATTTTGCTTCTCGTAATTTGTGATCAGAAATTGACAGGATATTTAGTTTTCATACACTCGAATACATCTAGAGTTTTTATTAAAATTTTGTTTTGCAGACAATACATTGTTGTCATTTTTCGCAAAATGAAAGGTTTTATAATTTTCAATGTTATTTTGCACCATTTAAAAAGAAGGGGAGAAACGCAAAGCACCCGCATCGATCAGGTTTTTTGAATCACGTTTACAGAATGAAAGAATAAATTTGTACAGAAAAAGCTCTAGATTACGTGTATTGTTTTACAATCTGTACTAGAGATGAAATTTCTACTGCAACAGTTGAACTACTATAACAAAATAGTTAACAGACAGATTTTTGAATATTATCAAAATCGAAGAGGTTGAATAGTTAATACCCTAAAAAAATTAACAAGTTAATGTCAAAATAATATTTGTCATTGTTATTACAGATAGTCGATAGACAATAATATCCAAGAATAATGACGCTCGATAATCACTAGTCACAGAAAAGGTCGTTTAAGTCTAAACACTGATGGAAAATCCTTACAGAATATGCTGTTGTTGAAGAAATTATAGTGCGTAGATAGATATACATATGACTGTATTATATTTATCCATCCACACCCAGTTAAAACGTTAACTACTGTAGATCACTGGCTTAATAAATAAAATGAAACTTAGATATTATTTAAGCTTAGTAACTCAGTCAATACAGTACAGGGTTGGTTACTGCTCAATAAATTGTTTCAAGCCCTTAAATGCTTTAAATAACCTTTTATTAAGATTCTCTCACTTTTATCTTTACAAATGTTTTAAAATGATTATGACTTATTAGGACACAATTAGAAGTATGCTCTAATAAAATGTAATATCATGAGTAAACAATTGAATGGAGATACAATTACAGATTGAGCTCATCCAATGAGTTGCTCAAGAAATCACAAGGTACTACAACGATAATTCTCAGAAGCGTGAAAGACTGGATTTTGAATAATTGGTTCACAAGTAAAGTGTGTTCAATTTTCAGAGTGCACTCATAAGGCGATTCAAACTAGGCCGAAACAACTGTTTCATGTGCTTTTTTTCAGTGATTTTCTAGATGACATCAATTTACAGTGAAAACAGCATTTAGACATCGATGAGTAATATCGATCAGTTTACTATCTTGTTAAACCCTTAGTAAGCAGACAATTATGAAGACATTTTAGTTTAGAAGTACATTTAGCCAGCCATTATCAAACTATACATAAAAATATTTTTGGTTTGATTTCAAAACAGGCAAGAAGTGTGCATAATTAGGAAATTAACAGAAACAGTTTCAACACTGTGATGTATATATATATATATATATATATATATATGAACTTACTTTTCTTCAGATAAATTTGTGTTTTCTTTCCTAAGTGTTGATAAATAGGTTTCCCAAGGTGTACTACAAGTTTCCTATCACAAATAAATAGACAAAATCAGTGACACTAATTATATATGATAATAATGATAAAATTTGCATGTTATTTTGAAAATAAGAGTCAAATATGTTCAGAATAAAGTTGTGTTAAATAAAAGCTAGAAATGATTGATATTTATTTAGATTATCATATCAAGAAGTTAATAAATTGTACACACAGTTTAAAACTGAGCTTCAACAAATGTAAGATGTTTCGGTCTAAAATATTTGAAATGGCACACATTTCACGGAGATGCAAAACGAAAAAACAAAACAGTTATGTTAACTCATTTATCACGTATCAAGATATTTAATCAACTGTGCGTGACATTTTCGTTGTACAAGGATCAGTAAAATTCTTTTCTTTTGTCCACACCAAAGTAGGTGGAGTGGGGTTCAAAGCTGAAATCCAGCAGTGGAAAAGCAAGTGCTATATCTCCTTGATCATAGTAAGTGATATTCTGTTTTATAACAAATAATCCTTTTGTTTTACTGATGTTATACTTGATAAACTATTCGATATCAAGCAACATATTATTGGAAGTAGATCAGTGATTAGGTTGACTAAAATAGTTGTATTTAAATATTTTCTTGTTGGTAAGCATTAGAACCGAGATTATGTATGATCAAAAATTTCTTATGGTCAAATCTAGTAGATCGAAAGCTTGCTAATTCGACTTCCTAAAATGTTTCAAAGTTCATATAAATCCATGACCCTTCAATAATGTGCCAAACTAAATATGGAAATAATAAGACAGTAAGTTTGCACACATGAATAATTCAGTTACAAGAGTTCAGAGATACTTTTATTGTTTTCTTTGCTTCTGCCATTCCACAAAAGATTTGTAAACCGGTAATAATTTAAGACTTGGTTAATCAGATTGGAAAAAAAGTGAAATACATGGGGTTGGTGAAGAGTTGCCTAAAGCAATGATTTGTTTTAATTAATTATATCTTTATCTAGTTTGTTAGGATTTTGTAAGCGTGTTTATTATGATAATCGAAAATTATGTGAGCAATTCATCTTCATTTGATGTTGTTCTTCTGTTTTTAATTTTTGGTTAAAGGATGAACCAAAGCATTATTTGTACAACATTTAACACAAATTAATTTTTCGAGATCAAATGACAATAAAGGTATATGAATTGAGAACACTGAAAAAACAAAATTTTTCAACTGATGTTGATTATTTATTGAATTGGTTTAATTATGGAAGCCTAATTTATGGGAATACTTAAATAGACTTGAACAAATAATTCCAATCAATGTGATTTCAAACACATGCTCATTTGTTTTTGGTACTTATATGGAGAACACAATGTAAATAGTAGTGAAATTGAAAAAGAGATCAAGTGTGAACAACAAATTTACTGATGAACATCATAATAAAAAGCTCATTTTATTAAGATTATGAATTGATCTAAGTTGGACAAGTAATGAAAACCTGAAAACACTGGTTAACGGATTCATGCATACACATCGCTCAAGAGCCCCATACCAGAGTGAAACAACTGTCTAGTGCTTCTAGGCTTTTAGTGGTTGTCTAGCCTGGATTGGTTCGTAATACCAAAAACACTTAGCGATCTCCATAACCCCATACTGATAAAAATTTAATTATAAAAACGCTTCTAGTACATAAAGTTTGTTATTGAAAGTGAAATAAGGAAAACAGGAACTATATCAATTTGTCATAACTAGATAGAAACTCATAACAGTTTTGTATTTGTTAGAAGTAAACTAACAGAATCAGAGAAAATATAAAGTATGTTTATTCGTTAAGAAAATGGAAGATTACGTCATATCGCAACGTAATTACATCTATTCATGATGACACAAACAGGAGAAACTCAGTGATTTTTGCTAATAAGGACAGTCCTAAACATCAATGTGAAGATTCAAACAAACATTACATATAAAAAGAGAGCATTGATGGAAATACTCCCTAATATAGAGACTTCGACGGATTACGGCAGAACTGATGAGAAATTATGTAGAACTGTACAACCCAGTGAAGATGCATAATCAAGAATGTTGAAGATTTAGAGATGAGAAATAATTAATCATTAATTTGAATTTCGCATAGTCGTTCATGTACATCTGTTTTTATTGTATTAGTCTTCCGTGATTGATAACGACTGTTAAATTTGATTATTTCACTTGATTTCGTTCTATATTTTCACTTTGGTTTTACTAAACTTCGTATAAAAAATATTCAAACTGATTACCTATATATATATATATATATATATATATATATATATATATATATATATATATATATATATTTATCCATCAGTAGTTTGTCACTGGTATTATGCACAGGGCGATTAAAACCATTAACGCAACAGCGAAAATGAACTACACACAATAACTATGTGTATGTGTTCCTATGTACAAATTCGAGTATACACACGCATGTAAACTATGACATGGCAATTATGTTATGAAACAATAAGTAACATTCCAGAAAAATGTGATGCATTTAATTATGAATTCAAATGAATTCTTAAGTAGAAGAGGACAAACTCCAATGAAATCACACTTTATACTTATGTGTTTTACAAAGAGAACTGTAGAGATTGAAAGATAATATTTATATCAAACTGCAGTTAATTGGAGGAACACTAGATATTTGTTTTACTATAGTTCAAAACTATACAACAATGAATATTACCAACCTCCAATACAAGAACTTCACATTTATTTCCTATATACATATTAAATAGTTACTAATTTAGTCAAACTTATTAGTGCAATTATTATTATGCTATTCGCATGAGTTATTTATTTAACCAAAGGATAATTTATTCGACGTTGATAATATCCAGATAAACAAAATGATAATTAAGACTTCCCGAATAATATATTATTATTATTACTACTACTGTACATCAAAATAATCAATGTCTATTCTTATCAGAATGGTCAATCAGTTGTTTTATTTATGTGTAGAAATAAGGAAAGCATTATGGATAAAAGTATTTAGACTGAACAAAAATACCAAATCAGTTAATATATATCTCTGTCTACAGCTAATCTGGTATATATGTATACATAACCGTCTATTAAATATCGTTGAATTAATAATTAGTCAGTTTAGTAAGTAGAATGTGAAATTTTCTTACTGATCACATGTTGTAAACAATAATCTTTTGAGAAGTTGTTCACGTATGAACTAGAATGTACTCAAACCATATATCGCTACATTATTTATTACGATCAAAATAGACAACCTATCCTTTTATTATCTGGAAAATTTTAGATATTCTAAATTAATTTTCTATAGTATAGTCAAATATTAAGATTACAACGAATCGAATTGTAATTGAACTGCTTCAACCAGTTTGATATGAATTGCATAAGAAATCAAAGAAAGTAATCCGTTTCCATAAAACTCATTATGGAACTGATTTTAGTCAGTAATTGTTATATATTCTATATTTAAATACTAAACCAAGCAGATGACGTGAGAAAAAAAAATCTACTCTTCATGCATTTTTTTCGTAAAAAGAACAAACACAAGAAAGCAATTTTATTTCTTATCATATATTAACAACTTGAGAAGTTTTGAAATCCACAAAGGTCATATCAGTATAATTAGCAGGGTATATATGAATGAAATATAACTCAAGTTTAATAATGTAAAAAACTGTCGGAGTTTTCCTACATTATGCGGTTGAACTGAATATCTAATTCTACGAAGTATGGAACTTAGAACAAAGAAATTGCATAAAGGTACATTACCCATGGGCATAGTGGGAAAAATAGGAATGTTATCATGTCAGATGACTTTTACAATATTCACAAAAGCTATGCAGTTTGTTATCGATCTCCAAAGCGGGACAAAACAATTTGTTAAAATATACGACTCCCGGTGTGAGCAAGACAAAATTCATAGCAGGGGGTATAGATCTAAGGTGCATAAAGGAATTATATTACAACATTTAGGGATTTAAACTGTAGAGTTTAGAAAATGAAATTTAGGATATTCTGAATACATTTGTTGTAAAAAAAGTTCCAGGGAAAACAATCTAAGATGTAAAACATAATATTGAATTAAAACATATATGATTAGTTTGGCAGATAGTTGAGTATTCACATCAACATATTGTATTGCTCAGTGCAGTTACTAGCCGCTTGTACGTAAGGGATATTCAGATAGATTCTCACAGAACGACTGCTCCGTTCCATCAAGTGACTTCACATCAGTGCGAATCCACGGTCCCACTACGGATAGAGCCACCGTCATTCATGCATTGAGGAGAAAACTCGACCTTCCAATCAATAAATTGGCATTTAACGGTTTACTTTTCTAATTTCAGTCAATGTGATCTATACTAGGATAAAATACTTAACTACTGCTATCTGATTTTAAATAGTTGTTGAACGAAAGTCAGCATACAATATAAAAAAACTACAAAACCTAACAACGTTCAAAATCCCCTATACCGAAAAATGTATACATATTTATCATGGTGAAAAAAAATGAAATGAGTCATCAGACTGACTCGAAAGTATGGAGTATATAGGAGTGTGAGCATCATTCAATTATTTTCCACTTAGTATTTGTAGATTTGGATTCTAACAAGCAAACCTTGTTTGCTAAGTACCACAATAAACAAATGAAATGCTGTATTTACACATATACATCATTCAGTTGTATAAACGTTGTTAAAAAATGACAAATACCTAAGATATGGGTATTATTTGCAAAATGCAATTAACTTATAAATAATACTATTAAACTAAAACATTGAAAACACTTAAAAACTAACCTCGATTTTCCTTAATACTAAAGAATAATTATACTGAACAGGTGGAATCATTTTTAATGTTTCTAAAGTATAATAAAATTCACTGAGGCCATAAAATTCCATTGAATTGAAGTCCGGATCTAATTGAGCAACATTATTAATTGCACATGGTAGTGGAGAACAACTTTGATTTAAATTAAGTAAAGGTTCTACATTTTGCATACATTTATCCATATTACCCGTGCCCTAGAAATTAAATAAATTTATAAATATTAAAAACAAAAGTTAGTTGAGATAAAAATTCCTGGGGTAATAACAATGCTTAACCATATATTCAATGATGACTTGATTCCAGAAAACTTACCGAAATTTAGCAAAGAGTTATGGCTGGTTGAGTTCACTTACGTTAAGAATACAAACGTTATTTACCAGTGATATTGGATGGTTACTGAGCCAAATTACAAATTGACTGAATTCGGAAATACGGATCACTTGATTTCAACTCATCAAGACTAACAAATTTTAAATGCGAGATAACTTAATTTCATCATTATGTTTTAATTATTGTATATAAGAATATGGACTTATTCAGTGTGTAACATTAAATTATTAAATGTTTTAAATAAATACAGAGGGTTGTGCATTTCGTAAAAATTATTCACAACAGGCAAGGAAATAAAATACTAAATAGAATCTGGATTCTATTTTGAATTCACGACGTGTAAATTCAGATATTTTCTATGAATGATATCAATACTAAAACAAATGAATCGTGCTATCTATCAAGGAAATTTTCAAGCTTTTCGTTTGTGACCATCTGGGAAAACTAAATGTGGATCAAAAATACAATTTTATTGTTTTTTTTATCATTTAAAACCAGTGAAAATAAGCTACATATGTACATACTTTGAAAATCTACGTGAAACGAGTAACCTACAAATTTTCATAGTCGGGTTTCAATAACGTAGGTTTTCCATAGAAGCCACCAATTTTTTTCATCACACTAAAGAATGTTACTAAACATGATTCAACAAAAGATAGGACAAATTAACTAAATTCTTTATTCTGAAAAATGTTGTATATTACAGTTACTCGGCTTCAGATTCATCGTATGATAATATTTATAGGGTCTAGCCTAATATCCCAAGAGTTACACTCCTGAAAATATTTTGCAATGCAGAGGTTTTAGTCATTCATAAAGTTAAACCAGAGTTCTGTGTACAAAATCAGTTATTTTGTTCTCTTTTTTGGTAAAATTAAAGTACATGGAGTCTTTTTGTGAAAACAACATTCATTTGCATAATAAAAAAATAACGTCAATCATAGATATTTAAATGAAACTACATGACCAATTTCTATTATATTTCATCAAATGTATAACTTCGGTAAACCTAAACCGAGTTATTTAGTTTTACCATGTCTTAATAATGACTACTTAAGTGAGGAAAAACGTTCATTTTTTTTGTTTCAGGCAATGACATCATATCTTGTGTTTGTACGTAAACGATACAGTAGTAGGAAAAAATGCGGATACCGTTGAAATTCTTAAGTTATTCTAATAATCACTTATGCTTTATCATACTTTAAATCATTTCAATGGTGTCCAAAATTACTGGGCAACGGAAACTGACGTCAACATCATACAATACGAATATGTTTTGAATTTATCACAATCTGTTTGCTGAAAGTAATCTTTTATTATGCCACTATGCAGTCTGTGTAGTCATTATTGCGAATGATTTAAACAATTTTCTAATTCTTAAAAAGCAATATAAACTTGTTTTAAAATATAATGAATAAACGCGGAAATGCTATCCTTTCATAAATCTTACTGTATACTGAACAGAAAATTTGTCACTCGCTGGTTCAAGCATCTCACCAACAACTCGACGAGGAGTAAGTTCACTTGTCACATTAAAACCCTCGAGTAAGCAAGGATCCTTTTGAAAGTAGAAAGAAAGTCAATATATTATTCAGTGAGTTCAATTTTATTAAATTAAGCGAGAAATATAATGTAATACAGTTTTTAGGACTAAACTAATCATTCAGAATATCCAGTACTTGCGCAGATCAGAGAAGTCATCACTCATTATCATTGACAAAACGGATCTATCACTTACAAGTGGATCATAATCTTTCCAATGGAGTTTCATCTCCTGCAGCGTTTGCTCGGTTGAGCTTTCACTATTTTTTTGAACAACATTATCAGCACAAACTTTAGGCAGACTCTCTATCTAATTAAACTATCGAGCTCAGAGAACGAAAACCCCCAAAATCATCCACCTGAGCTAAAAATCTTCACCATCTCAAGATCAAAATCTTATACCGGGTCTTTAGAAGTTATAACGAAGGTATGTGATATCGCAGAAAAGCACCCTTCCCTCCCTCCTGGTTGGCAGCGACACCAAATGTAGTGAACGAGAACATAAGTGGGGACAATCGGATGTATTTGATTACAAAATTACAGAACATCTGAGAACCATGCAGTAAATACTTAATTTGCAAAATGTCAATCAACCGTCTCAGACTTCGTTGTTCTTTAGTTTCTACACCAATAATTCGTTGTTCCCGTTCTCTTCTCTTTGATCTTCTTAACCTTACTCCTCCAGGTATTTCACTTTCGACTGATTATACATACTACTTATATCTGTCAACATCGGTAGCACACGCCACAATATAATTATATATCAAACGAGAAACCATTTGGCAAATACTTCAGATATTCTTACTACCCAGTATTAAACAAACAGATACTGGCAAAGCAGACAGATAAAAAGTAAAAAGTGAATTCTTTAAAATGACTAAGTTCGATAGAGACTATTTGGCTGTAAAAAAGGAAAATGGAATTTAAGCCATATGTTTTGTGCAGGAGTTCGGGATGTTAGAAGGATGGCCTTCAAATCTGGTACATAGCAGTTAAGGGTCAAGGTTTTAACCTATTTGATAAAACATTCAGACGAGAATTTTGTATCTATTCATCTATTGTATAGTTGTAATTAATTATTATGCATAGGATAGTCTGGCAAAATTCAGAAATTTTTTATTGCTGCATCGCTGTTATTTGACCTTAAAACTAATAGCTTGGGCATAAAAATACCCTGACATTTACTAACTAGATACATAGTATAATGTTCGATTAAACACAGGGATGATAATATAAATGAAATATCAGAAGATAATTTACATTATTAACTGGCTGCAGCCCTATAACCGTAGAAAACCAAGAAGTATCAGACAAATTTAATCCTAGTATGGGGCATCCGAATTTTGTACTCACAATATCGTTAGAAATATAACCAAGGGACTACAGATCACATAATAAAGCAGATTATTAGATGTTGGGAGTATGGATCACTAGATATCAACTCAGAGGTTAAAAAAACACTTAAGGAATCTATGCGGGATCATGGTTGCGCACAACCGATGTAACACAAACTAGAATAAAATAGATATTCAGAGCTTGTTGGTTTTAAAAATTGTCTAGTTGAAGTCAAATTGTTATATAGACTATCTTCGAAATGAACAATCTACATAAATGTAGTATTATTAATAAGACGTTGTTCATTATACGGTCAATAAAATATCTCTTGTAAAGCTTAAACAATGTGTAATATAAAGAACGTTTATCATCATTTAGGTCAACAGAAATAAGAGAGAATGATAAACAGTTGCTATTGTAATGTGTATTTTCTGAAAAGTTTATACTTTCTATATCGCTTTATTAAGTAGTATACTTTCCCCCCCCACATAACTAACTAAAGTACATTGACTCCTTTTTATATTTGTAGCTTTGGAAAGAATTAATAACACATGAAATATTAATAGTTAGACAGTACCGGTTGTTTAGTCTGAATAAAATATATGTATTATATGTGTTAAGTAATTAGTTAAATTCAACAGCACGAGCCATTTAATACCAGCACGTTCATAATGATGCATCTAAATAACCTTGTACAAAATGGTTAACCTTAAACCTTGTCGTTCATGTATTGCAACATCTATTACAAAGGAGTTCTGCTTCATTTTATATAATAAAATACTTATAATACACAGCATATAAATAATATGTATGAACATCGTTATCTTTAATTTACTAGTGACTGGAACATATGAACTGACCTAATGAGTTAAAATCATCTATGAATGAAAAAAAAAACATTTTAAAAGTTCATTAATTAGAATATTACACTGTTTTTAATAATTCGATAGGTGTATTTAGTTTTAACCACTTGATTTTCCAAATTACTCAATAATATAGACTCAGTTTATTGATTTTTTCTCTGTAAAGGAAGGTTTCAACAGTAGGCTATTGGTATATTCCCACGAAAGATGAAGTCATTAAATCAATTTATGATCTTTATTAGTAAATGATAAAATTTAGCTCATTATATATGACCAATATGATTGTTATAATGGTGTCAGGAATGTGCAAACAAAAGTATTCCATATAATTTATTTAAACAACTTCAGTATTCATCAATGTAATTAACAATTAACATATTTTGAACTGATGTTATCAGTAATCTTAGCCGAGTCTCTATTCAGCGGGGTGTGCAGTATAGTGTATCTTGATTCATTTGACTTGGAGGAGACAGAAGACATCACCTCAAAAATCAATAAATCTTTATGAAACGTTAATTAGTTAAGAGCATCATCGAATTCTAACTTGCTAGTATCTATTATGACAAAAAGCTAAAACCAATAGGTTGAAGATGAAGCACTATGTAAGGTAGGTAATTTTTAAATTCAGTCAAATTTATGTAAATTAAATTTCGAAATTAGATTTTTAGTTTTCTGTCTAGAATATTCAGGAAATATTGTTGACAAAAAATACGGGGAATAAAAGAGTAACATGTTTTTTTAAATATTGAATTCGGAAAATCTGTAAAAAAAATCCTTTTACATCTGTTGTCATCTTTAGTTTGTATTAATGATTTTTAACGCTTTTCACTTGTATAACAAAGATTAATTTGATTATTTTTATCAAATTTGTAACAGCTGGACAAAAACAAACGAATAGATAAAATAAATAAACAAATGAAACCTAATTTCCAACTGGATTGATTTTCATGTTTTAACTACTGATTATCTACATTCGTTATATGTACACACATATTGTATATTACTTTCACAAGTCGAACTAGAAAATAGTTATTCAAACTAATCACTACTTTTATTTATTCAAGTTTCAATATGTATGTTTTTTTCAAATGTTTTTAAATTGCATCTAACAACTAGCAGGTTAAATAAATCGTATATTTCAAAATAATTGTACACAATTAACTGATAGGAAAACAATATGATAAACAACACAGTAACATAAAGACTGAAGTGATCATGCATCCAAGAAAATTAAAGCCAAGAGAAACTAACAAGAATAACGTGTGAAGAGTAGAACACAAAGCAGGAAGAAGAGAAAACAAAAAGCGGTGGAAAATAAATACGTCTGTAAATTAGAACGTAGTACAACTTATTTTTGTCACGTTTATGGATATCAAGGTGTTACATTTAATGCCTCTTGGTAGTTGGAGAAAAGAACAAACACAACACAAATCATGGAAAACAATGGAATTAATCTGTTTTGAACCTTTTTATTCGATGCGAACAGCCCAAATGTTTATTTGCTGCTTACAGCTGATTAAAAGCCTCGAAATAAAGTGAAGTCGTCCCTTACTTGTCGTGTTTCACATTATTAAAAAAAAGTATACATAAGAGGTTAATTTTGGTTAAATTTTACGGCTTAATCATTTATGCTTTTGTTTGTGACCGCTGAATTACATTACTGCAAATCTTATTGTTTCTTATCCTGTTTAAAACAAAACCTTAAAACCTCAAAATCGAGAAACTCTAGCGTAACTTGAAATCTATATCAGAACACTAACGAGTTTAGAATCGATTTCAAAATTTTTTTGAGTCTTTAGTTAGCTCAGTCAACCTTGCATTTTTACGTGATTTTGTCATTATTCTGTTACCAACTAGAGATATTACATGTATGCTTAACGTTCATGTTGTATTACATGAATAAATTTCGTCTTCTTGAATAAAACACGTTTATTTGAATACGTTACAAATAATATGTTTAATCTTACTGTTAAATAGATAAACAGTGAGCAAATGTTGCAACACTACAAAAGTATATGTAATTTCAATTGTGAATCACGTGTTATGATGGATAAATTATTCAACATGGAACGTAACTGAGAAGCATAATTTATAAAAGTTATTAATATTAATTTGTGGCTGAACGAATGTTTCTGATATTCGACCATCCACACATACTCTGATTTTCCGGATGGTCAGTGTCTGACAGGAACAATTACCAAAACCTTCCATGTTAATGATAACCATGTACTCACTAGTAACGCGTCTTAAAAAGAGTTCCAATGGGATATCAAGACCAGTGGAGTTAATTCATGTTGAGTGGAGGTATCATCAATGGAAATGGATGATAGTCTTGGGATACCCCAAACTAACTGAAATCGGAAATGTGAACTATTAGTTAGCGAATCAATCGCCTTGTAATGAGGTGCTCGCCACGCGGCCTAACGGTTTCGATTCCGATTCCCGGCAGGGTTGCAGGAGGATATTACTAAGTAGTTTGAAATGAGGACAAAATAGTTGACCATTGCCAACTTATTTCAACGGTTATCTAGTGGCGACCAGTCCATAGTTTAACCACCTTCAAACTTTTAATTCGATGGATTTTGAGAGGGAATAGGATTAATTACGAAACTATTCCTTCAATTACTCATTCTAAGCAACCGTTCGAAGACGGACTTATCAAATATTGAAGTTTTACCTCGATATAGTAAAAGTTTCTCTACTAAAACTTTGATACCTACTTCTGTAAAGAAGACAACAGGCAAAAGGAATATATGTTCATTGCGAGAAGTTACAAGGTATTTACATAATACATATGCATAGTCTTCAATCGTTCACT